AACATTACAATAAAGGTTTGGTTTTTAAATGTCTTACCTTTGAAGCCTTTTCTTGTTGAAATTGTTCTCTGAAATTTTATCTTTGTTTTGTAGGTGGAGCTTAGTGTGTAGTGTTGATTTTTGAAAGTAGATCAAGCTTTGTGGTTGTTATGGAGTTTCAGTTTGCATAAATGATGAAGACGGTGAAATGAAGAGATGTTTTGCTGAGATGGTTTAATGAAGATGCGGGCTTGAAGTTACTGCTTTCGAGACAGTTTTGTGTTGTAATAAAATGTTTTGGACTTTTTGTAACCCAAAAAAAACAAAAAAAAAGTTTGGGCTTTTTTATAAAATTGGATTGGGCTTGTTTTGGGTGTTTTTTGAGTTTTTTTTTTCTGTTAGGCATCAGTGGCAGTCTTGTAATTTATAAGAACTTCAACACCAATTTCTTATATAGTAAATGAATTTTGGGTGTATTTCTAAAGTGCATTCCATGTGGGGTTTTTTTTATAATTTCAGCTCCTATTTTGGGTATATTAGTGAAGCTCCCAAATTTATATTGAAATTTAGCCCAAGTTAGTTTTTGTGAGTCTTATTCATCATAATAGAACTTGTGATATGTTAAATTCTTGTCCATTTTAATAAGTTCAATTTCAACATTTATAAGTTCAACAAACAAATTGCACCAAACCATGACATTGGTCAAATTCAATTGAAATAGAGTACATAGCGAGCCGCCAAACGAAGTCTTCTTATATAGGAGAATCTAGACATCTTCAAATATTATGGGGAAAAAAATTTAAATAAATAAACCCTCCCATACCAAGAATTAGTTCATGAATAATGAACATTGATAAGTAGTCCATCCATCCTGAAGGGTCCATCTTTCGGTTTGCATGATTGGTCAATCGCCAAATACCCCAACTTTTTCCCACCACATAGGATAAGGAAAATCTTAAATTAAAGATAAGAAAGACAAGGAAAGAACCACGCCCCTCTATCCAATCCCATCCCATGGCGACCATGTTCTCCCCCTCCACCTTCTTCTCCACCACCACCACCAACACCCCCAATACCACCATCACTTCTCCAAAACCACCTCAAACTCCACCACCATCCAAATCCCACCTCCCCATCCCACCCTCCAAACCACTCCTAACTACCTTAACCGCCACATTAACAGCCACCGCTGCCGCCGCCGCCATCCTAATCGCCACTCCACCCTCATTAGCAGACTCCACGGCGGCAACAACTTACCAAGTCTACTACGGCACTGCCGCCAGCGCAGCCAACTATGGCGGCTACGGTGGCAACTCTAACAAGAAAGACTCCGCCGAGTATGTCTATGAGGTGCCAGATGGTTGGAAAGAGCGTTTGGTATCGAAAGTCGAAAAGGGTACATATATACATATATACGCTACTATATACATTTGTTGCAACACTTAATTATATATAAATGTTATGTTGTGAGATTGTGAATTTAAATCGAAGAAAAATGTGACTCGGTTACTATTTGTTGATGAACAGGTACGAATGGAACTGATAGCGAATTTTATAACCCGAAAAAGAAGTCAGAGAAAGAGTACTTGACGTTCCTTTCTGGGTTTAGGCAACTAGCACCAAAGGACTTGGTACTGAACAATTTGGCTCTGTCAGATGTGAACTTGCAGGACTTGCTGGCTAGCGCGGACAATGTGACGTCGGAGGAGAAGAAGGACGATAAGGGACAAGTTTACTACGTGTATGAAATTGACGGCGTCGCTGCTCATAGTTTGATTTCAGTTACTTGTGCTCAGAACAAGCTCTATGCTCATTTTGTGAATGCGCCCACGCCTGAGTGGAACCGTGACCATGACATGTTGAAGCATGTTCATGAGTCTTTTAAAACTATTGGCTCCTTCTAGTTTGCGTTGATGCCTTCTTTTTCTTCTAACAATGTGGTTCTGCTGTGCACATTTGAAATACAATATAGATTTCAATTATGAAATAAAAAGACTTCTGATCCCACCTGTCCATGGGCCTTCTCATCTGCTTATACAATTTTATAAGTGCTGGAGTTGGGGGAAAAGAGCCAAAGGAATTTGAAGTAAATCTTTTCAGATTTTATGTGGATGGGTGGTTGTTAGAATTTGGAAATGAGATTTGTAAATGTAAGTGCTATGAGGTATGTGAGGCTTACATATATAGCTTAGCTTCTGCATATATGAGAAACTCCCTGTTCATCATTTTCATCTACTTCAACCATTTTCGAACACCTCATGGCATTATACGTGTGTTCGAGGCTTCTATCGTTTATGTATGATTTGATTTCTCGTACAATGCCCCTTATTTTCAATGACTTTCGTTTTTTGAAGTGTCCAAATTGAACTAGCAAAATGATGAACAATTGGCTGAATGCCAATGTAGTTTTAATGGACTTCAAGTTAACCAAAACAGAGGATTATTTCAAATTTCAATGGAATCTGATCACATCCATCAAAGCAAAATTAAATGTAAAAAGAAATTATTACAAAATCAGATTGATGTAGGCATTTGTAAACCATATAACATACTCTAAATTAACAAGTGATGATACATTAATTATTTGAAGCAACTGAATTGTGGCTAACTAATACAAAGTGAAGCCATCATCATAGGAAACATGGCATCCCCTTTGACAAGGTGTGGCATTTTCATCATACTCTTGACAACAGCTCCATCTCTTCTTCCAATTCCCACTTCCAGTGTCTGGTCTCTTGCTCTTCTCATTCCATCTGTACACAATCACTCCAGACCTATCACTCCACTCTCCATCAATCCCTTGGTGTGGTGGGGCCATTGCAAATAATCCCTTCTCTCCTACACAATCCAAAACCAATTATCATTATATTGCGCTTATTCAAATACGAGTTTACTCTGAATCTCATTTATTTCTAACAAGAGTCGTGACACATTATTTGGCAAACAAGTTTATTGTTATTATCGATATCATTCAATCATAAGGAAAGATACTTTTAGTAGGCCTCACATGGTCCCAATGAGCATGTGGGGGGAGAAATCGAAAGGCGAAGCATGTGAATTTGTGATATGTATATTACCAGTGGTGTGGCCATGAAAGGAGCAAGCAGTAGGGGAATTGTCTTTGTCTGTGTAGAGGGTGTTGCACCTCAAGCACCGCTTCTTCGTTTGGGTTTGGGATGTGCTTGTTTTGCCGTCACTAATATTTGAGCACAGCTTGATCTTTGAGCCATTTGATGTCCTGCATAAGAAGCTTTGAGGAATACCCAGAGCCAGAGCCATGAAAAATGTTCTATTGTTGTGAGAGACAGAGAGAGCTACTGAAATGAAATTAGGGTACCAGAAAGGGGGTGGCATGTTTCCTATGATGATGGCTTCACTTTTGTGGTTGAAAAATCTGGGTCAACCCATTTTTACTGGCAGTGCTAAATAGCCCAGTTCTTTTTTTTTTTCTTTTTTTTGTGGGTTTGCCTTACACCCATGACTCTAATCACAACACCCAGCTTCAAAAAATAAAATCCGAATAGCCCAGTTTTGTTCACAGATGTGTTAAAAACTCAAAATTAACGTGTCATATCTTAAGTCATTAGATTATTAAAAATGTTCAGATGGTGCGAAAGAGATTAAACACTCAAACATAATTAAAGACGTTACTCTTTCACTCAAACATGATGTTGGGCAATTGTTCTTGTTTTTTTCCCCCCAAAGGATTGCACGAATAATTTTTTAAAGAAAGGACTTATTTATATAAAAATATAAGTCTATAACTTTTTTTTAAACAAAATTACTTTTAAGAAAGGACTTAATAGAGATGTGGGCTGATTGGGTTTTCTTTAATGGGCTACTGTCTTCAAAGCTTGTGTATTACATATGTGAACTTATCTCGCACTCCAAGACTTAAAAGTCTTGTGTATCAAGTCGCACAAATAAAAGTCTTGTACATGTATTGAGTGGCTGATCAATGGAAGATGAACTCATTTTTCTTTCATCATTTCCTTCTCATGGTTCTTTCACATGGAGCATAGCCAAATCGTTCAATAGCTTTTGGAGAGGAAAAACCCCAAAGCGGCCCCAACCCCCTTCCTAACTGGCAATGGCTTCTTATGTAGTATACCATTCCACTCATTCTATTCAAGCTCTCCATCCAAAAGCAGTCCTTGCCCATGAGAGGAAAAGCCAAAAAAAATCCTTGATCGACATTTACCCACCAAACTCCCCCTCATCTAATATCGCTTTCTGAAAAATACTTGATATGTTGATATGAACTTTTTCCAATACTCACCTCTTGAAAATACAACGCGTGCCAATTCATTTTAATTGCATATATATTCACTTCTTTGAATCACATCTTAAAATCCACCGATGACATTTGGAAAAATTTAACATAGTGGTCATAGTGGTTGTTTTTATTACCGAAGGTAATTAGATAGTACAACGGCGAGCATGTGCCTAATTTAAAGATGAAGATCAAAGAGACTTGTAGCTTGAATGGAAGAGAATTTATCTCACACCCTTTTCTACAACTTATCAAAGTTTGTTGACGGAGGAACAAAGGTTAGCAAATAAAAAAGCTACAACTTATTTGTGTGTGTATATATATATATATATATAAGTGATGTCTTTTGACAAGATGTCTTACATATTTGACTTGAAATTTTTGTCGATACCTGCACAAAGTGATGTCTTTTGTCATACTGATGCTCCACCAATTTGTGAAAGTGATAACTTGGTTGGAACACAAGAGAGCAATAATGCTGTAATGGTATTACATAAATATATTATTGTTTGATAAGTATTTCTGATATTTATTATAAGAAAACTATGACAAAGAGGGAAAAGAAAAAAAAATAATGTTTACCAGGGAATTCCAAACATGTTCTGGAGCCAATCAATTTTGACAAACCTAGAAGACTGTAAGATGATAGAAAAATTCCCTCTCTAGGAAAAAGAAAAATCAAGGAAGACAAACACAACATTCCCCAGTTTGACAAGTCATGGTAGCAGAGTATCAATATATAAAGCAAATCAGGTTTTGAAATTTTCTTTTATGGATCATGAATCAATCTTATGACTCAAATTTGATAATTTATCCATAGATCATAAAGAGTAAAATCTTCTGACTTATGTCTTCATACTTGCAGGTTCTAACTGATTCAGAACAAAAAAAAAAGGTTAAAACTATTTAAAAAGGCATGACAAGAAACAATGGAGAATGAGCATAAGTCATCAATGGAGGAGAACGAACATGAAAATATAGCATCCCAATCAAAAAAAGAATTGACAGAAAAAAAAAATCATATATACTCACCAATAACCAAAGGAGGGACAGTGGAGTGCCAATTGATGGTGTAGGAGGATAGCCGATGAAGAAGGCGAAAGAAGACGGTGACTGTAGAAGAGAAGAGGAACGACGGAGGGGAGGAGGGAGAACCAGTTTTCACGTTGGCTAAGGCATTTTCAACCTGTTGTAGTGAAATCTGATCTACTGGATTTGTATGCTCTTAATGTTTCATTTCTGTTCATCTTTCTCAGGTCTGAGTTTTTAAGTGCCATTTATGTGGTAGACTTGTTTTCATTTTCAGTCTAGTTGCTTATTTGTTGATCACGGATCTGGATCCGTCAAGATCTTGTCTATTTTGGTCATTTTCAAACTTTTTGTTTTTATAATTTTACTAAATTTCAAATTTATTTGGATTTTGGCATTTATTAAACAATAATTTTATTCCAGGTTTTTAGTCTTGGTCCAATGATCTCAGATTAATTCGCGATTTTTGATTGGGAATTTTTGGTATTTTGAGCTTTAAGCAACTAGTTTTTATAAATACATAAATTAGTTTTTGAACGAATAGTGTTGTCTTTTATTGAAATTATATTTTACTTGGTTCAGGAAGGTTTATTATTTTTCTTTCTCTGGGTGGTTTCTGTTTTTAACATTGTTTACGCACTTTCTTGTAGGTTAAGTCACGATGGTTGGTCAGGTTCAACACCCTTCTGTTGTTCAGAAGGTAGCTGGCCAGCTCCGTCGGCAATCTATTCAGGGATACGATAGTGGCTTCCAAAGGCCGGGGATGTACCAAAGGCGTGCATATGGGAACTACTCTAATGCTGCATTGCAGTATCCCTTTATGCCAGCATGCAGAGCTACCACTGGTCTATCTTTGGTTCCATCAACTGCATCCCCAATCTTTGTCCAAGCCCCGGCAGAGAAAGACCACTTTCTTGTTTATTTTCTCGCTTTTTTGTTTGTTTTAAAAACTACGGGATAATTTCTGGGCCAGCTTGGCCCTTGGTTGGCTCATCACCAATGGTGCTGGTCTTGCTTCCTACCCAATTGACACTGTTCGCAGAAGAATGATGATGACCTCCGGTGAAGCTGTCAAGTACAAGAGTTCCCTGGATGCCTTCAAGCAGATCTTGAAGAATGAGGGTGCCAAGTCTCTCTTTAAGGGTGCTGGCTTCAACATCGTCCGTGCCTTTACTGGTGGTAGTGTCCTTGCTGGTTATGATGAGCTACAGCGGATCGTGTTCGGGAAGAAGTATGAATCTGGTGATGAAAATCTTTTTGAGTCTGAAGAATTTGTTTCGGCAAAATTTTCCTTAAAATAATTGCTTCTGAAATTAGTATAATCTCATTATACAACAAATGCTGGTTTATACAAATCCGTAGTGAACAGAAAGTTTTAAGCTTCTTGGCTTTTGCACAGACTGTTTTTAGTCGGTTTTAGTTTCTTTGAATCCTAAAACAAGATTTTGATGAATCCTTACGTGCTTGCTTTTGGAAAGATATTCTGCAAAACGATTCTCACTTTGTTTGCTTCTTTTAAATAATTTTTTTTTAATAGCTCCGTGCCAAATGGAGCTTAAGATGCATGTTATTGCATTCAACACCTCAACATCGCATCAAAATAATGGGAAGATGCATGTCTGAAATAATTCTCTCACGCTAGGCTGTCGTTATTTGGATTGGAGAAAAACTTGATTTCAACGGGGATATCACCTTTAGGATGTGTGGTACCATGGGCTTTCTTTTTTACCCTTATTGCCACTTATCTGCAAGCAAATATATTTCTCAACCGTTTTATCGGTTTCAAATTTAGTTACAGTTGTTGAGATGCATACATACCTTGCAAAATTCGATACACCACCCAAGAACCAAAAGCAAAGTCGGCCCATGGCATGCGCGGGATGTGCGACTGCACAGGGCCCCTAAAATTTAGGGGCCTCTAAATGTTTTTAAAAGCCCAATGTTATATTATATTTGTGGGTATGTGTAGTTTTTTTGCACATAAAAGAAAATTGAATGGATATGAGTATGTGAAAATAGACAAAGGATGATATTAATTCTATTTGTGGGTTCTAACTTAATTGATACCACATATTTTGGTTTAATTTATGATTTATGAATGTTAAAATTTGAAAAATTGTTAATTTACTTATACAGGTTGATCTTTGAGCCATTTGATGTCCTGCATAAGAAGCTTTGAGAAGTACCCAGAGCCAGAGCCATGAAAAATGTTCAATTGTTGTGAGTGACAGAGAGAGCTACTGAAATGAAATTGGGGTACCAGAAAGGGGGTGGCATGTTTCCTATGATGATGGCTTCACTTTTGTGGTTGAATTATCTGGGTGTGCCCATTTTTACTGGCAGTGCTAAATAGGCCAGTTTTTTGTTTTTGTTTTTTTGTTTTTTTTGTGGGTTTGCCTTACACCCATGAATCTAATCACAACACCCAGCTTCAAAAAATAAAATCCAAACAGCCCAGTTTTGTTCACAGATATGTGTCAAAAACTCAAAATTAACGTGTCATATCTTAAGTCATTAGATTATTGAAAATGTTCAAATGATGCGAAAGAGATGAAACACTCAAACATAATTAAAGACTTTACTCTGTCACTCAAACATGATGTTGGGCAATTGTTCTTGTGTTTTTTTTCCCCGAAGATTGCACGAATAATTTTTTTAAGAAACGACTTAATTATATAAAAATAGAAGTCTATAACTTTTTTTTAAACAAAATAAATTTTAAGAAAGGACTTAATAGAGATGTGGGCTGATTGGGTTTTCTGTAATGGGCTAACTGTCTTCAAAGCTTGTGTATTATATTTGTAAACTTGTCTTGCACTCCAAGACTTAAAAATCTTGTGTATCAAGTCGCTAGATAAAATCTTGTATATATACTGAGTGGCTGATCAACGGAAGATGAACTCATTTTTCTTTCATCATTTCCTTCTCATGGTTCTTTCACATGGAGCATAGCCAAATCGTTCAATAGCTTTTGGAGAGGAAAATTTTAACATAGTGGTCATGGTGATTGTTTTTATTACCAAAGGTAATTAGATAGTACAACGGCGAGCATGTGCCTAACTTAAAGATGAAGATCAACGAGACTTGTAGCTCGAGTGGTAGAGAATTTCTCCCACATCCTTTTCTACACCCGAAAGGAAAAAAGAAAAAGTTCAATATACTTTTTGGGTTTAGGGCACAAGCATATATATATATATAAAAACTATTCAATTTTTTGAGCCTAGCCCAATACATCTCCCAAGTTGGGCTAACCCACATTACATAGTCGTTACGGGGACGTCTACTTTGACTAAGATGTCATTCAAAGATGTGAAATACGAACCGTCGGATCCAAAGGTTAACGGCTGTGATTTCAGCCATTCAACACTTGTTCTCTTTGGAAAGGTCAGCGGTCAGCCAATAAAAGGGTAGCTTTGCAGCTCCCAAAAACTCGTCTCCTCCACACAGCGTCTTTGTCTTTGAGCATTTCTGCGTAGAGCTCAAAGCGGAGACCCCCGCAGCCATCAATCGCTTCTCATTTCCTCCAAAGGTATACGAAATTCAATGAAAATATCTGCTAGTTATTTTTAGATCTGAAACTTCTCTATATCTCGGTATTTTTTTTCCTCTTTCAGATCTGTGTTCTTTTTAATTTTCAAAGGTAAATTATAGTATCGTTTCTATAGTTTCAAGATCTGATTGTTTTGTTTCTGTTTTTCTGCTTTTCTGCATTTGCAACCTGTTGCAGTGAAATCTGATCTACTGGATTTGTATGCTTTTAATGTTTCATTGCTGTTCATCTTTCTCAGATCTGAGTTTTTAAGTGCCATTTATGTGGTAGACTTGTTTTCATTTTCATTCTATTTGCTTATTTGTTGATTACAGATCTGGATCCGTTAAGATCTGGTCTGTTTTGGTCATTTTCAAACTTTTTGTTTTTATGTTTCACTAAATTTCAAATTTATTTGGATTTCGGCACGAAGAGCGTGAGTGGATCTCAGATTAATTCGCGATTTTTGATTGGGAATTTTTGGTGTTTGAACTTTAAGCAACTAGTTTTTATAATTGCACAATTGCGCTTAAACTACTTTGTGTGTACGTGAATTCAATTTCCAATCAGTAAGTTGCTACCGCGTCAACAAGGAAATGATTGGTTTTGATGCTAAATGCTAACACTCGAAGTAGTTAATTTGTTTAGTCGGATCCTTTGTCTACTGAAGTCATTTTTCGATGATATGGGTTATTTTCGTGTATACTGTCAAATTGGATTGACTTTCTTTGTACCCTGCATTACATATGTATGTGATCATCTAGGTTAATGGATTGGATATTTGAAATTGGTGATTTTGTTAATGTTCAAAAACCAAAAGTGGATTCCCATCCAGTTTATGTTATTTTGTATTGGATTTGTATTGCTTGAGTATATTTCTAAAAGTAATGCAACAATTTGTGCATACCAGCTAATATAGTTGTTCTGTTTTTCATATTTATTATCATATACATATTCGTTTGAACTTTATTTTCGTTATATAGAGAAAAAGAGATCATCATATCAGTTTCAAGTTGGCAAATTAATCGAGTTGATATTTCAGTATTTCTTTACTTGATGGTTAGAGCATGTTTAGCTCCTCCGCTTCATGAAGCTATGTGTATATCTGAAGTGCTGATGATTTTTTCTTTCTTTAATGACTTCATAATGTTGTCTGCATCTGTAACAGAAAAAAGTACAAAGATCATTAGACAGATTATAGAATATATTATTTTATACGTACGTATATGGTTTTAACTATCTTATCTCCTACCCTTTGAGATCATCCAGTAATCAAGGCTCGTCCTCTTTTGGTATCTGTCTCTATGAAAGAATGATTGATTTTATAGCTGTTTGTTTGGTGTGATTTGATGCTTTTATACAATATTTTATGGCAGTCAAGTTTTGAACAAATAGTGTTGTTCTTTCTTGAAATTATATTTTACTTGGTTCAGGAAAGTTTATTATTTTTCTTTCTCTGGGTGGTTTCTGTTTTTAACATTGTTTATGCACATGCTTGTAGGCTAAGTCACAATGGTTGATCAGGTTCAACACCCTTCTGTTGTTCAGAAGGTAGCCGGCCAGCTCCTTCAGCAATCTATTCAGGGATATGATAGTGGCTTCCAAAGACCGGGGATGTACCAAAGGCGTGCATATGGGAACTACTCTAATGCTGCATTGCAGTATCCCTTTATGCCAGCATGCAGAGCTACAACTGATCTATCTTTGGTTCCATCAACTGCATCCCCAATCTTTGTCCAAGCCCCTGCAGAGAAAGGCCACTTTCTTATTGATTTTCTTATGGGTGGAGTCTCTGCTGCTGTATCTAAAACTGCTGCTGCACCAATTGAGCGTGTTAAACTTTTGATTCAGAACCAGGATGAAATGATCAAAACTGGTCGGTTGTCTGAACCGTACAAGGGCATTGGTGACTGCTTTGGCAGGACAATCAAGGAAGAGGGGTTTGGTTCATTGTGGAGAGGGAACACTGCCAATGTCAT